CATACAGACCGGTTCCCACTCACTGGCTGAGCGAGGTGCAGGTGCAACACTGAGGGTTGCGATCCCGTTGCCGGTCCCAGTCCGGTGCAGGCGCGACACTGAGGGTTGCGATCCATTGCCGGACACGAAAAAAGACAAAAAGGAAAAAACAAACAAACAAAAAAAAACAGATTGAGAAATGAATGAATATATCACAGTGATAATGCCATGAGAATATTTACCAAATCATGTTTCAGTGACATAAATAAATTCAGGCAAATGTGGAAAAATAACTTGGAATCCAGTAATCCCAAACTTATTTTGCAGTTTGTTCACTGAACAAACATTTGTTTAGTACCTACCAGGTGCCAGTGCTTGGTAAAGAATTGTGGTAAAGAAAAAAGAGAGGAAGCATTACTTCCTTCTGAAAGGAGAAGCATTTTGCATTTGTGGACAGTGCTGGGGGAGTGAAGTTCATTTTGCTGGAGCACTGCAGAACCCAGGCTGCTTTCAGGAACATCTCTCTGGATTCCCAGATTTAATAAAAGCCCAGGCAGGAGTTCTGGGCAGCCTCCACTGCCCAGCAAAAGGCAGGAGCACTCACAAGGTCCTAGACAGGTGCATGGGGAGCCCCCACCACACACAGAAGGCAGGAGCATGCTGAAAACACTTCTGTGTGGGTGGCCCACCACCACTACTGCCACAGCCATGGTCACCACAAAAGCGGCTCACTGCCACAGTAGCAGCCACAGCCACTATGCAGGCAACCTGACAGCCACTCAACTGGTGGAGACACAAGGAGAGTGACCAGAGGAGAACAGAAAAAGAAGAGGAAGTCTCTCTCCTCCAAACCCACTCCAGAGTAATAGAAGAAACAACTGCTCTACCAGATGACTAGACATCAATGTAGAAATACTGGAAATATGAAAACCCAAGAAAATATGACACCACCAAATGAATATAGTAATTCTCAAATACCAGACCGTATAGAGCAGGAAAGCCTTGAAATGACAGAAAAGAAATTCCAAGCAACAATCTGAAGGAAACTTAATTATTTACAAGAAGACTCAGATAGACAACATAAAGAAACAAGGAAAAAATCCAGGATATGATGAAGGAAATTTACAAAGTGATTAATACCTTATAAAAGAATGAGACAGAACTCATGGAACTGAAGATTCATTCAAGGAAATAAAAAACATAACCAAGAGCTTAAGCAGCAAGCTAGAACAAGCAGAAGAAAGAATTTCTGATCTCAAAGATAGTCTTTTTGAAATAATCCAGGCAGACAAAAAAAGGAAAAATAAAATTTTTAAATGGAAATCTAAGAAAGCTAGCAGACAACCTTAAGGCTCTTAGTAGTGAATACTTTCTCCATATGCCTTAAGCCTAGGAAGAGATAATTAAGCAAGAGAATAGGTTTCAATAAGTTTTCTTGATTTAAATGTATTTAAGTTGATAATGTTGAAGAAATTATGCATGATGCACCATTTTATTTTATTGAAGAACTTGTTGACCAGTTCACTAGATGTGTGCCTATTTTTTTTTTTTCAGTGTTATTTCTTCACAATTGAGTTTGGCCTTTGCAAGCAAGAAGGGCAACTGCGGGCATATGGAGCAGGACTACTTTCCTCCATTGGGGAATTACAGGTATAAAGCTCTGAATGAAAATATCCTTTTCAAGCAAACTGGTTCAAGGTCATGGAAAATATTGATTTGTTTGTCTGAGCATTTCTACTCACAGATACGGCATAAATATTTAACATAGAGGATTTGGCACCTTGGATGTGGGTGCCAACCTAACTTTTTGCACTTCTGAAAATGGGTAATGCCTTTCCGGGTTTGTGGTGTGACTCAAATGGATGGATGAGTAGCCATGTGCAGAAATCAACAGGAATGACAAATGTATGCTCAAATGTTGGCTAACAAATGGCTGGTCTAAATTTAGAGCTGAAAAGTGGGCAGTGAGCCTTCAGTGATCCTACTGATTGAGATTCACTCACGAAGGTGGCTTGCCTACTCTGATTTCTGTCACCTCCACAGTTTCTATGGACTCCCCAATATCTGCTTCCTAAAGGGGAGTTTGAGGTTATTTCAGCTTCTTCAAAATTAATATGTATTAAAAGAAATGATGATGAGGAATAATAAGAAAATAATAACCACCACAACCCCAATATGCATTTAAAGAGACCTTAGTATTTTTGGTGTTTTAGACATATTTATCCACTTAATTCTCAAAACAACCCAATGAGATAAGTGGTATTATTATCACAGATGAGAAAAGTGAGGCAAACAGACATTAAGGAATTTGCCTAAGGTCACACAGCTAATAAGTGGTGGAGCTGGGCCCACATCCAGGCAGTCCATGCTCTGGGATCTGGGCGCTTAACCACTAGGCAATATTACCAAGGATCCCTGCTATTAAGGAGTTTATATTCCAGTGCAAGAGATTAACCACCAACCAGATAATACAAAAAATGTGACAGATGTGCCTGGCACATATAGTCCATGCTTGAGAAGGCTTCTGGATGGGGGCTCTGCCCAAGCTGATTCTTGAGGGATGGAAGGGGTGAACAAGGAAAAGATGGACACACAGATCAGTCAGCAGAGAACACCATGTGTGCTGTCTGGACCATCTAGGGAACTGTCTGAGACTCAGCATGGCTGCAATAGAAGATAACGTTTAACATAACAAAAAACTCATGTAATGTGGTAAAATTCTTTTTACTAAATTCTCAATGAAAAATCCATTTGGGCAACAACAACAACAACAAAAAAAAACAAAAAAACCGGGGGAGGGGGGGAGAGGAAGATATAACATCCACAATTTTTTTTTTTTTGAAGTTCTTACAACAA